TCCCTTACCACTGCAGCATCCCCACCTGTCTAAGCTCTAATGTCGGCTACTGTCAGAGCTTACATAGGAGTGTGACATCATGGAACCCACTATCTAACAATGTTTGGGCTTGGTGATTGGCTGATTGGCTGCTCAGGCCTGATCCTGTGAGTGATGGCGCCAACATGTTGGGGAGGCAGTGAGGGAACATGGCTGGTTGCAAGTGTACATGCCTGGAGGTGGACTATGTGCGGACAGTGTCACTTCTCCACAACGGGACCGCCACACTGTACTTTTTGGAGAGACTTCTATGGGAAAGGACAACACGGAGGTGTGCTGTCCTTTCCATGGTAAATTCCGGGAGACCTCCTTTAAACGATTCCTCCAGACCAGCCTGTAACTGACATAAGTCGTTGCATCCTCCTGGCTTGTCAAATATACCATTTAGATAGTTTAGTTATACCCGTGCAATAAAGAAACACCTGTTGATCCTGCCAGTAACACAGTGCTGTCCGTTGCACTCTTATTTCCAGCATTGTTATTAGCCCTACCCAGTTCAGCTCTCCGGACTACAGAACACCATCCTCCTATGTAATGGATGTCATAGATACAGTACAGTGAGTGTTGTCACCCTAGGACAGGAAGTGTGTTACTGGCAGGATCACCAGGTGAAAATTAAAGAAGAAAAGAAAACTAATGCAGCCAATACATCTAAAGCACTGGTAAAGTGCAATACAGTAATACCTTGGTTTCAGAGCATAATTCGTTCCGGAAGCATGCTTGTAATCCAAAGCGCTTGTATATCAAAGCGAATTTCCCCATAGGATATAATAGAAATTCAGATGATTCGTTCCACAACCCAAAAATATTCATAGAAAAATGATTACAATACTGTACTGTAATATAATACTGTATAAAATATAAAGAAAAATAAAACAATTACCGTTACCTTCGTGGCTGGTGTGAGGGGGACAAGAGAGAGGAGGATTATTGTGTAGGACGACTTTCACTATCACTAACGGAATCACTGCGATCTCTTGACTCAATGGAATCTTTTTCATTTTGTGAAACCTTATCAAGGAATCTATTCAATATGTGACATTGCATTGTTGTTAAACAGTCTCATCGCTCGCACTGCTACAGCCTTATTCGGTGGCGCTTTTCTACAAAATTTTGCTCTTATTGCAAGACATTTGCTTGTATATCAAGGCAACATTTTTCAGAAATGTTTGCTTGTCTTGCAAAACGCTCTCAAACCAAGTTACTTGTAAACCAAGGTATTACTGTATATTTGTCACGCACCTTGGGGGAGTCTGAGTTGACGAGGGCGGCCTCTCTCACAGCCCCGGTCCCGGAGCACCTGGATTGGGTAGAGGGGCGCCGGGGGAACAGAGGGGGCAAGGGTGCCAGAAGCTGGTTAGTCTGTTGCGTCTGCGAGATGAGATGAAGTGCGCAGATCCGGGCAGGAAGCAGGATATGGATGCACCGAAGTGGATCAAGAAGGCTCTAGATCAGATGAGCTGAGGATGCTGGAAGCAGAACACAAGGCAGAAGGATCGTGAAGCAGGCCGAGGTTATCAATGAGCTAGCAATGTAGTACAAGGGGTGAGGCAGAATCAAGGTCAAAAACAAGCCGGGGTCTTCAGGGAGCAAGCAACAACAGAGGGTAGTCAAAGCCGGGTCAGTAACGGGTAATCCGGATACAGAAAATACAGGAACACAGAACACAGGAAGCTGACGATCTGACAGCATAGGAGGATAGCTGAACACAGCCTTTATAGCCAAGTTGGCGCCAATTGTTCAAATGGCACGTCGGCGCGTGCCTGTGCGCATTACGGCTCTATAGTCCGCAACAGGCGCATGCGCAGACAGTGACACTCGAACTCTGGCTCTGGCTTTCTGACAATATTACATTTTTGTTCTGAGGCTTAGACATACACTATATTGCCAAAGGTATTTGAAGCTCGCTACGCACTGTTGTTGTGCCAATCTGAAGGCCACACGAAGTTGTGCAGACAGTTGGCGACTTCTGCGCACCGTGCGCTTCAGCATGTGCTGACCCCGCTCTGTCATTTTACCTGGCCTACCACTTCCTGGCTGAGTTGCTGTTGTCCCATTTACTTCCATTTTGTTATAATACCACTAACAGGTGACCGCGGAATATTTAGTACCAAAGAAGTTTCACGGAACACCTGAATCCAGTGATTTGGAGGGGGAGGGGCCCAATACTTTTGGCAATATAGTGTACTAGTTTCTGGTCCATGTTCTCTGTACCTCCTGGAATAAGTCACTGCAAGTGGCATCTCCATAGAGTACTATTGCAGTGACTAATGCCATTGATAACATAATGCTGGGCACACACCTTACAACCATCGCAAGTCTTTTGTCTTGCGATGGTTGTAAGGTACTTAAAAAAACGTACAATCTGCCCATCTTGGACAGGCAGATCGTACTTGCGGTGACCGCAATGCCGAACAGGCAGTGTGCGCTTGCGCACACCGGCCCGTCCGGCTTTTATCTTACGAACATGCTACACATCCGCCGAACATCGTACGATGCACGGCGGGTTTTCGAACATATTCGTAAGTTTAAAGTCGTGCGACCTTACAGTAGCAGAGGTCGCACGGCTTCCACACACCTTACGGTAATCGTACGATCGTGGGATTTCCCGCGATTGTCGTAGGATTATCGTAAGGTGTGTGGGCACCCTAAGAAGGACTGAACGTAGAGGGTGAAGGGATGGGGAGCACTGAGCTAAAGGCACCGCGGCACCCTCTGCATAGTTTTTACACTGAACCAGGTATTGGTTTTTTCGGGATTATCCCCCAGGAGGCCGTATGGCAGATAATTACATCTCCAAGTTTATTGGGAACCCGGTGGAAGTCATAGAAGGGAGAATATTCGGTGGACTGATCCTTGAGTGATTAGAGAATTGCTATTCAACATTTTTAGGGATCACTTTCACCCAGAATGTATATTTCAAATGTTGGAAACATTTAATCACCTGGATGTTTAATATAGATCGGACCTTTTTTAGGATTTCAGATATAGGGTCATAGCCTGGGAATGGCTCTAAATATGTTATACTTCTTCCCAGGTCCTTCTACCAAACTGCTGCACACCTTGTGCCAGAAGGTTAACCAGTATTCCGAGCTGTCCAATCACAGCCTGCGTTTCAATGCCTTTATCTTTGGCCTTCTCAAGTAAGTCTTTGAGATTTGATTTATAGGATATCCGCAGGTTTAAACATTTATACTGCGTCAGGCTTTGAAAACGTACAAAAATTGGTTTTGAATGTCATGAACTGATGGCTTTTCTCTATTTTCTTTTGCTTAGCATCCGTTCGGTTGAGTTCTGGTTTAACCACCTGCATAACCATGAAGGTGCGTACCTTGGATTGCAATAAAGAGAATTCAATTTAAACCACAATTCAAGAACAAGCTAAATATTCCCTTCCATTTCTTTCCTTTCATTTCCTTTCTTTCTCTTTGTGTAGAACTAAAGCCATTTTTTCCTTTACCTTCTTTCCTCCCTCCCTTCCGTCTTTCCTTTCCTTTCCTCCTTTGCTCACTTCATTCTTTTCTAACCTAACTCCCTTCCTTCCCTCCATCTCTTTCTTCTTTCCTCCTTCTTTACCCCTGCTTCCTTCTTTCCTTTCCTCCCTCTTTCCCCCCTCTTTCCCCCCCCTTTTTCCTCTTCCTTCCTTCTCTAACTTCCTTCTTTCCTTCTGTCCTTTGCTCCCTTCCTTCTTTCCAGCCCTTCCTTTCTTTCTTCTCTAGCTTCCTTCTTTAACTTCCTTTTTTCCTTCCTTTCCTCATTAGACTCTCCCTATCTTTACTCCCTTTCTTCTTTTCTTCCTTCTCTCCCCCCTGCTTCTTTCATTCATTCCTACTTTCTTTCCTTGATTCCTTCCTTCCCTCTTCTCCCTCCCTTCCCTCATTCTTTCTGTCCTTTCCTCCCTTCTTTCCTTCCCTTCATTTCTTTCTTCTCTAACTTCCTTATATTCCTTATATATTTTTTCCTTCATTCCCTCATTCATCTCTCCCTATCTTTACTTCTTCTCTTCCTTATCTCCCCCCTGCTTCTTTCCTTCATTCCTCCTTTCCTTCCCTCCTTCCTTCTTTCTGTCCTTTCCTCCCTTCTTTCTTTCTTTCTTTCTTTCTTTCTTTCCTTCCCTTCATTTCTTTCTTCTCTAACTTCCTTATTTAACTTCCTTGTTTCCTTCCTTTCCTCATTCCTCTCTCCCTATCTTCACTTCTTTTCTCCCCCTGCTTCTTTCCTTCCCTTCCTCCCTTCCCTCCTTCTTTCTGTCCTTTCCTCCCTTCTTTCTTTCCTTCCCTCATTCCTCTCTCCCTATCTTTACTTCCTTTCTTCATTTCTTAGCTCTCATTCCTTCAAAATTCGGGATTGTCACATTTAATCTTTAATGCTTGTCTCTCTCTCTTCTCAGACATTATCTGGGCTCACTATGACCAGGTCGGCTTCCTGTCCGTGTCTCATGGTGTTTGCCAGCCACTGTTTGAAGAGCTCCTGCTTCTCCTACAGCCTCTTTCTCTTTTACCCTTTGACCTGGACCTACTGTTTGAACACCATCTCGTCCAGATGAGCAGAGAGCAGCAGCAGAAGAAAGAGATGCTCCGTGTGAAGCAGGACCTGCTCCAGTCTGTTCACTCCACCCTTCAGCTGATGAGAAGCCGTGATGAGGAGGAGCAGGGGATCCAAGAGAAGAAAAGCCTCGAGAAGACATCCTTAGAGTCCTCTGATTTCGAGAGGCCCACAGGAGAAGGAGCTGCCTCTGTTGAGGTTGGTGAAGAGCAAAAGAAAGAGAATGCCATGGAGATAAAAAGAGACAAACAAGCTGGGTGGTGGTACCAACTGATGCAGAGCTCTCAAGTCTACATCGAGAACTCCTCTGACACCACCAGGTTCACACGCCAGGATAGGCGAAGACCAGGAAATGGTGGCACTCCTAAAAAAGTACCACCACCCAGAGAGGGAGTTGTTGAAGGAGCTGAGGCCTGTCCTACTGTGGAAGGAATGTCAGAGGAGAAGCCATCAAAGAAAGACAGAGTGGAGAACAGACAGAAGGAAGAGAAAAAGTCCTGGATGGGTAGCCCTCCCGAGTCCGTGCTCAATGAACTTAAACATGGGCAAGAGAAGGAGAGTCAGAGCTCCCAAAAGGACTCTCAGCCCAGCGGACAAGAGGCAGCAAAAGAGAACATACAGGGAAGTCCAGTCAGGAAATGGGGGCACTTGTTTGGATCCAGGAAACCCCTGAGTGAAGCCAAGCAGACAAACAGGTGAAATCAATAAGTTATGTATAAGTCTACTTGCACAGGTACAGGAAGTGCAGTGGTGGCATTTAAACCCAAGATCTGCAGGGGAACTAGTCCTTTTCCTGGTATACACCTGACAATAATGCTGAGAGTGGGTTTTTACACTTTAATATAGATCTGATTTATTCCACCAATATACAAAGAACATTGAATCACTCATATCTGTTCCTTAAATATGTTCTAAAACGTAGAGTGAACAGCTCTATAAATGTCTTATATTTGCAGTGCATTATGGCCACTAGATGGCGCTGAACAACATTATTATGCTCCTCAGCTCCATCTAGTGGCCACTATGAATCTAACACTCAGATGTTCACGGAGTGAACAGTTCTGCAAACTTTTCATTTGTCGCTTACTTTTGACTATCCCCCCCATGCCAGTTGCACACTATTATTATAACTCTAACATGGCAGTAGTGCTGTACAATTAACCCTGGACCATTTACAACACACTCTGCTCTGTAACAGTAATACAAACACATATAGACAACTTAGTTAGAAACCTTCCAATCCACCAGTATATTTGTTTGAAGGAAACAAACATAAATAAGGGGAGAACAGGCAAACTTTATGCTCACTGTATCCATGGGGTGAACTGAATCTCCAGCGCTGCAAGATAGAAGCAGCAGTGATCACAAACTTTCCATATCACAATGTAGGGAACCTGAACTTTATCCACTCCACGGTCTATTTCAGCATTTTCTATTCTGTGTAGTGTCTCACATTCTTTTGTATCAGAAGACTCCAAGGTACTTGTACGTCATCATCTGCCCTTGAAGGAGCATCAATCTTTTATGAGCCCTGACTGATGCAGCTCGGTTCTTTTCCCTGCCGCAGGTTACCCTCGGGCTGGCTCAGCCTGGATAAGTCGGTGTTCCAGATGGTGGCTCAGAGCGTGAGCGCGGGGATCTGGGGAGAAGCAGCTCCTGAGAAGGAAGCCACGGCAGGATCAGAAGCGGGAGCTGTGTCCCTCTCTCCATCTTCCCAGAGTTTTCGGTAAGTACCTCCAAAAAGTTCATTTTTGTCACAGCGGCACTTTGTGTATTATAAAAGAACCTCCGGGACACGTGAACACTTTCATATATTCAATAGATAAAGCAAAATGTATTTAATTAGCTAACCAGAAATGTTCACCCTAAAACTGAAAAGAAGCCCTTAGAGCAGTGGTTCTAAACCTATATGACCTCAGGACCCACATTTGTCCTTGTTCATTAAGTCGTGACCCAATTGGCACCACACTGGAACGCACGGCATTGCGGTACAGCATATTCTGGTGCAGGCGATCAAATTGTGTGTGGGAAGTGTGTTTGTGGTGCCATTCAAATTAATGGCAATGCACCTCCAGCACCAGAACGAACAGTAGGAGCGATTGCGTGGTACACTGACAGACACACACAACCACAGACACAATCTCACACACTCACAGACATTCTCATACACACTCCCAAAAAAATTGTAGGGGTTCAGTGTGGGCTGCTGTGCTGTAACAAAGCTCTAACCATACGCGCATTGCTTGTATAGCTCCCTTGCGCGCCCCGTAGAGGTGACGGGAGCCAGAATGTGACGTCACTCCAGTTACGTGAGGGAGCTGTAAGCAATACACATATGGATGGAGCTCCCTCGTGGCCCACCCCACCTCAAGCGGACACTCGGCTCCAGGCAGCATATTTTGAATGGCTGCTTGGCACGAGAACTGACAGTGCTGAGCTCACCTAATGCAGTGGAAGGCATGCGGCAACCCACTGAACATGGGGTCATGACCCATTGAACATGGGGTCGCGACCCACTTTTGGGTCACGACCCACCAGTTAAGAACCATGGCCTTAGAGGGTAAAGTCTTTTCAAAGATCAGCATGATGTAAGCAGCCATGCCTTTAGCTTTTGTGTATAGACACTAGCCCATCTTGGACGGTGTAGTTGACATGGGGGATGACTGCGCCCAGAAGCTCTGTAATGTCGTCCCCACTGTCCACCTGTCCTATATGATTCTACGGAGCCATTTGGGATATCCTAATGACCGTAATTGCTTGTTCTGTTCTATCGGTTTAGGCGCCAATGGAAAAGGCTGTTGGTTGCCTATCAACCGGCCTTGTCAGCCTCCCATTGGTGTATGCAGACACGTGGGAATGGCCTAAAGCCTTTACAGGCAGACTACCTGATAGGCTCTGAAAAAAAGGGGCATGGTATTTGAAATGCAATAGACATGCTACCCACCACTAGCTTTGGTCGGTTGTATGACACATGAGAAACTTCCACTGTCTTGGTCTGATCGTGCCGGTTTGGTTGGCCTGAATGTGGATTATTCTAAGTGATATCATTGTTTATTAGACATGTGCACCACCAAAAATTAGTTTAGTTTAGTTTCCTTTTGATTCGGATTTTGCGTTATTTCGTTTTTCGGATTAGGTTCCACAATTGAATTCGTTGCGGGATTCGGACGAAATTCGTTAGCAGCAAAGTGACATTAGAAAAAAAAAATGTTTTTTTTTTTACAGTCTGCAGAAGATGGAAAAAAAAAAGCGTGAGGTCCCCCCCCAATTCATACCAGACCCTTTAGGTCTGGTAGGAATGTTAGGAGGGACCCTCCCCCAAGTTAAAACAAAAAAAAAAGTGCGTGGGGTTCCCCCCAAAATTCCTACCAGACCCTTAAGGTCTGGTAGGAATTTTAAGGGGGAACCCCAGCCCCAAAAAATGGGGAGAAAAAAACGTGGGGTCCCCCCTAACAGTCCATACCAGACCCTTGTTCCGAGTATAGGCCTGGCAGGGC